TATATATATATATATATGTATATATATATATATACATATATATATATACATATATATATATATATACATATATATATATATATACATATATATATATATATGTATATATATATATATATATATGTATATATATATATATATATATATAATCGTAAGAACGTAAATCATTATAACAAACATTAAAAACTAATTCTCACCCCTCTTCCTCTCCGATCATCATCTCATTCCATCATCTTTTTCTTTTCATCATTTCACGTCACCTCCAGTAATTAAGATGTGGAAAAGGAGAATTAAAAAGATAATAAAAAGGAGTTATATGCCAGGATCAAAAATATACTACTAGAACTAATTATAAATTAAAAACATATATGCCTATTTATAAAAGGACAACTTAACAATGTCGAAGTTCTTAACATGGGATTATAAATAACAAAAATGATTTGTAATCCACTTCTTTTATACTTGATGTTCTTTTTGCTTGGATGAAAATGTCCTCATATTTTTACTTAAATGATTTAATCATAGATGTTATTAAAAAAAATATAATTTATTTAAAAATATATATTAAATTTATTTTCCATAATTACATTAGAAGTGTGATTCTGACTTTACATATTATTTAAACCAATAAATCCTGGATTTAGAACCTCGACTATTGATATTTTACTTTAATTTTTATATATAATAATACATTGAACATGAAATTTAGTTATATTCATGTACATTATTTAAGGCTAAATAGAATTGGATCAAAGTCAAACTTGGTTCAAGCTTTCGGATGAACCAAATCAATGTCTATTTCTGGTTATCTTCCAAACCTTATTCCAATTCGAATCCAATTAATCAAATTGGCCGAGATTGGAAGGTAATAATATTATTCAAATCCAATTCAAACCCTACTCCACCAAGAACACTAGTTTGCGGGCCCTTAGCAGCCTCCGGTCCGGGAGAGAGCAAGGATGCAGAGAGCGACGGCGATCGCGTCCTTCGCCCTGCGGCGTCTCGCGACAGCGGAGACGGCCCGGCCGATGGTCTTCGCGCGGGCAGCCTCCTTGGCCGGTGCGGCCCTCTCCCGGCGCCTTTGCTCCTCACTCGACCTTCACCGCCCTATCGCGCGCCTCCTCCCGCCTGTTTACGAGCCCTCACGTGGCTTCGCGCGGGGCCGGGAGGCCATCCCGAGCGACGTGGAGAAAGAGGATTCGGACGACGAGGAGGATTTCAACGAGGACCTGGACGATCTCGACGAGGACTTTGACAACGAGAACGATATCGATGAGGATTGGAGCGAGTTCGACGGCAACGATTCGAGGGAAGAGTCCGATTGATTCACGAGTTGATGGTGTGGTCTCCGGAAAAATCGGTACGAATCATGGCTTTCTCTGTACGGTTATTGATCACAAAAAGGATAAAATAGGCTCTTTTAGGTTCATTGATCGATAAATCGATAGGTTCTGTTTCATTTATTGGTAGTTGAATTGAAATCTCCGTTTGCATTTGATAAACTATTGGTTCTTCATCTGATGGTTCCCCGCTTCTGCGGTCAGTTCTTCCTAATCTTTTGTCATCATAAGGGTACGGTGAGCAAATCTTTTATCATCGCAAAGGATATGGTGAGCAATCGATCTCTGCAACCACAGATCAGTACCCAAAAATTCATATTTAAGAGTAGAATCAAGTTCCTATCTCACCTGTTGGTCTTTATCAGACATGCAACAGTCTATTTAAGTATATCGACTTAAACTAATACTCTTATCATAACCAATAAAAATAAAAATAAAAAACTCAAAGCAAATCCATAGCATTTATAAACAATCTCTAACACCAAATCCATAGGATTCGTTGTCTTCGGACCTTATCAAGGAAATATTTATCTATATTTAATCATCAACACGTAAGATGAGAAATGACATTGATTTCTCATGATCATTCAAAAAAGATTTAATATGAGAGACAAAGATCTTAACAAGAATATGATAATTGGCATTACAAAGTTAACCCCCTCCTTGAGTAAGATCAAAATATGATAAAAACTAACAAAGGTTGAAACCTAGGGATCCCCCACAATCTCCCAATAATGTTGGTAGAACACTATTTTCCCAAAGCCTAAGGGCCTAACAAAATCTCAAATCTCCTACTTATTGGAAGGACAAATAATATTATCATTTTGAACATTCAAAATAACCCCTTCTACCCATGTCCCTAATCAAAAAATTGAGAAAACCAACAATAATAGCTCCATCATCACTCCACAGGTTAGAATAAAAACCCATAAACTCTTTCATAATAAGATTAGGTTCATAAAAGACATTCATAAATATTGTGAATAAGTGTCCTTCTACGCCTAATCATAATCAAGTTGTAATCGATCTATCTGTATTTAGCCTTAAGGTTAACTTGTCTAATTAACGCTTAAAACCTTTTGTACAACTTGACCAAATTAGAAATATCATTTTCGATGAGGCCGGCATTGGCATTCCTAGAACTCTAATCTATCTATCTATCTATCTCACCCTTGGTTTTAGAATACAAAACCAGTTTCATTTGGACATAATACCCTTAAGAGAGCAAAGATTATCAAAAAAAATTAGAATACATAACAAATTGAAGAAAACCTTTAGCAACACTTAATTAGTTTTTTTGACCTCAACATATTCATTCTAAAAACTTTGGCATCAGAATAATTTTTTCTTAAGATATGATTTTGTCAAAACCTCAATACATATAGGGTAATGATGTGAAGATCCCCTAGGGAGATAAAAAGTACCTTAGATCGTCAAAAACACATAATTAGCCAATTAGAATTAGCAATAGCTCTATCGAGCCTCATCAAAATTCTAGCTGTAAGGATTCTTGGAGAAACCTTAGATCATTGATCCCAACCAAATAGGAAAATATTTAAAAAGTACGAATTGAAGAAGAATTATAAAAATCTTTACCTCCTTTCTTTATCCTTCCTACTTAAAATATAATTAAAATCTCCGATCAAATACTAAGAGAGATACGAAAAATCTATAGTCAGAATAATTTTTGACAGATATATTTGTACTTGCATAAATAAATAAATAAGTAAAAGTAAAAAAATCGTATGTATTGAGAATGGAACGAGACAACCTCGTGACTGGTAAAAGGCAAGAAGACAAATTGCATGAAAAGATAAAGATAAGTCTCTTAGTACAATGCAGGGTTTGTTGCACCAAAGAGGATTTAATGCTGATCCTACTTGAATCTTTTGCCATGCATCTTTAAATTTATATCTTCTGTTTATGTGATGTCTGAACTTGTCAGTAGCGACAGAGTCTTTTTGAAGATCTGGAGATTAACAAAAACTAATTCGGTAGCAATCATGATGTTACTGAGTCCTAAATTTACAAAGAGGAAAAAACAAAATGTGGGTGGATTGAGGATTTAGAGATTATCTTGAGGCATACGTGCGGAGTTAATCTTGGATCTCAAGTTCACTGACTCGTGTTCATGTTCAAAGCTTCTCACTAGACATTCATTTGCATATTGTCAAAGAGAATAGAGAGGTCAAGGGCAAGGTTATAGGCATAGTTGCTTTAGAAGCTATGTGTTCGCAAGTGGAACGAGTTCAAGAACGATAACTCTACAAGATGAGCTTTGGAGTTCAAGAACGAGAACTCTTACAAGAACGAAGCTATGAGATAACGAAGTACAAACAAGTAAATCTTGCAATCGCATACACGTAGCATTACCTAAATATATATATATGACTTTGTGGTGCAAAATCCACAAACCTAAACATCATGAAATCATAACAAAATAACTAATGCTGCAGTGCCCCAACAAAATTACAGCCTCCATTTAATTTATAGCACCAAAGTGGCCGCTCAAAAGATATCTTCTTTGGGACAACCAAGGCAAAATATTGCTCATTACAGAAAACCAGGAGTTTAGCCATGTCATATGATCAAGTTGGTTGGAGAAAGAACTCGACCAGATGCTCGCAGCACCGGTGATGTCTCGAGTTACAAACTATGAACATAAATCACGAAAGAAAACCACTGTTGCCTTATTGAATACGCTGCTTATGCCACATTTTCTATCTTCAGGATCCAAATAAAGGGGGAAGATAAAGAGCCAGCGGTAGAGTGCATCAGGGAAACGTTAGCACGGCAACAGAAGTTTGTGCATAGACACCAGGATTCATGCTTTGCACACACTTGGTTACTTGCCAAAGAAATGCACACCAATGTTCACAAAAGCAAACAGACAATGGCCATCGTGCACAAGAATGATGATCAATCATCGAGGTAATAATAAGATCCTGCAGCTTTCTGTTCTCGGTCTTTGGTAGAGTCCAACTTGTTTATCCTGGGCCTGTAATTAGTTGGATCTCGTCTGAAAGTGATATCAAGATGCTGCAAAGAAGACAAACACAACTTCTTCAGCAAAAGGGAACAAGATTAAGGGAGAGAATCAAAGAAATACTACTGACATCGGAAAGCATGTTCTAGAATAGCACAATTTATTTAGCAAGAGAGCAGTTAACTATAACTAGTCGATTCAATTTAAATGAGTAACCATAACTTTGACAATAATTAATCAGCAGTAAGTCAAGAATGATGACAATCATATGGAAGAAAGAACACCTTTGTCAATGTTCTTGTTTGATCCCTCCATTGTACAGTCTTATATTTATCTTACAACACCATGCATGGAGTACAACAAAAACAACAAGCAAGTCGCAAAGCCCCACCACCATGCATGGAGTGTATTAAGCTAATTATCTTTCATCTCTGTAAACTGATTTTTTTTTTCCAGCTTCAAGAACAGGGTACATAAATATGCTCTCCACAAACGTAGCTCAACTGTGTTTCCACTTTCCATGCATCATCAGTGAACAAAATGCCTCCAAAAACCACATCTTCTTTATGAAACTCACTCTTGGTTGCCCCTCTAACTAAGTCTTTTTCTAATATTTGCCACATAAATAATAACCTCAATTGCTCCAGCTGCAGTCTCATCCTAGAAAATGTGGAGCTCTTCTTTATTTAACCTAGATATGTTGAAGAAAACCATATGAAATTGAGATTTTTACAAAAATGATTCAAAGAAAAATGGAATCTGGATAGAAAACACTAATCCCATCATCCTATGCCAATTATGCTAGTCCTTGGTATCTCTTAGTGGAATATGTGAAGCACGGGGATAAGATTGCCTTCTACAACCACTAAACATTCAAGCTAATTGGAGCCAAACCCAGGCTAAGAGCCTCAAATCACAGAAATCAAATCAATAAATCATATAACCATAACCAATGTTTAACCTATCCCTCGAAATCGTATAATCCTAATCAATGCTTGACCTATCCCCCGAAATCGTATAATCCAAATAAATCGCATAAATTGTATAATCCTATCGGTCTACTAGCTGTTGCGACAACCAGCCTGTTCCAGGTGGTCAGGTTTCGATCGGTATAGGTGATGTATCGGCTGATACAGTCAAAACTCATGCTGTATCAACTGATGCGGGTCCGACGATCGCAATTTTGAACGATACCAACCCAAATCAAGTCAAGTTTGACACAAACGATCAAATTGACCATTTGGAACTCTTTTGAGATTTAATTTGAGCTATCCCCCCTCTGTCAGTCACTCTCGTTGTCACTCTTTTTCACACCCTTTCTCACACTCTCATTTGTGATTGAAGTTCCTAATCAATGATTAGTGGTAATCAAACTATTGATTTGGATAAAAGAGAGATTGGAACTCGGGATCTAGTGGAATTTCTCTCCAATTTAATGGGATCCCTTCTAAGTTTTATTTATCATTTTATATAATTGGAGGTGTATTAATGCATATTTACAAAGATTAAACTTTATTAAAATTATTCTCTTGTGTTAGTCCGAATTAGGTCTATTGTCTTACAATGAGGCCCACATTGGGAACATAAAGGGTTAACTACAACCTTATGCATTTATATATCTATGCCTCATATACATTCTATTTTTAATTAAATAAAATAAAATTACCATTAAATTAGGATTAAAAAACCTAGAAAAGGAGTTCTTGTGAATTTCTGGCCATTGTTCATCCTTTTCCCAAAAGTCAGTTTGTACCAGCATAATGGTACATTGGTACCGATCGGTTGATCGTAACCAACACATCAGGTGACAACTGCCCTGCACGGTTGGTCACAGTAACCAGAAATGTCAAATATTACAAATGGTAATGAGTGCAGGTACAGGGTACACCACTTATGATTATGCTACATGGACTGTAGGACTAGATGATTCAATCAGTCATGGTAGACACTGAATCACATAGTTCACATGCTACTTCAGATAAGATATTTTAACCATACTGATTGATTGACCATGCATCTAATCAACTTTATAAAATTGTGGTAAAAGAACTATGAACTTGTATTGTATTTATCCTACTGAGTGATTTGTTATTTAAACTTATCTTCTAAAAAATATTACAGTAACAATGTGTATAGATTTATTTCCCTTGGTTAATAACCACGAACTAAATCATATTAATAACATCCAGTCACCACCTTGGAATTCTACAAATATTTGGAACACATAGGATAATGAATGCTGACAAAGACAGAGGTGTTTGGAGCTATTCCAGCAGCCATTGTCTGGATCAAACTTAGTACCAATGGACAACTTACCATGACGAATCAGAAGGGGCAAGATTCAGCTCATGGAACCATAGTGGTTCTGTATGTTCCCCAAAAAAACAGTTTACTGGATATTTCTTCTGCCTTTATGGTTGAATTTGGCTCCTTTACAAGAGTTTTATGATGAGCTGCCAACAACAGTCTCCACATATGCACAAACCCTATTAATCCCATATTCCCATCCATTTTCCAAAATCCAGAACAAGATCATAGAGAATCAAAGCCTCTGGAAGGTGAACTCTTTTTTCATGTGTACAAAAGCAATGTTGGAAGGGTCAATGGGTACGATGACTACCAGTCAACTAATTTACCTTTGAATTTTTTTTATTCAAATTAGCTCATAAGTCTTGGGAGCCTGTTATAATCATTGTTGGACTTTAGTGAATCATAAAATTTCCTTCAAAAGGAAAAAACCAGTTCAGCTTAGCAAAAAGAAAGATCAGATATTATGAACCATGGCATTCAAAATCATCCATTCAACCAGTACCCAATTCAAAAACGAGCTGTAACATTTCCAAAATATCTACTTTTGTAATTTCAAAGGCAGTCAGGAATTATAAAATTTGATTCCAAACATTTTTGCATAATTAGTAATTATCGTTCAGAAAGTAATTCTAAAGTCCTAACACATATCTCAATATCATCTAAAGTTTGATGATAGACCACTACTTATAAAAAATACCTAAATAATAAAAAGGTCAGTAGAAATTCAAAGGAAAATGAACCACTAAACTGCATCAGAACCAAGCACATCAAGATGACATATACATATATATAAGTTCTCTTTTCTCGAGGATAAAGCATCAGATAAAATGATTGCTACTTACAGATAAGAACAAGTTCATCCCGGATACCAAAGACTGAGGTGCATTTGCAGTGCAATCTATAGAGGGCCTTCCCTCATACACAATGACCTTATCAGCCAGGTAGGTTGCCATGATGAAATCATGCTCAACGATGAAGGCAGTTTTCTTGGCATGAAGGATAAATCTCTTTATCACCTTTGAGGCGACAATGCGCTGCTCCGAATCAAGATAAGCACTTGGTTCATCTATCAGATAAATATCTGCTGGCTGAACAAGTAACATGAATCAGTATAACAAGTTTGCATCAAAAATGCAAAAAAACTCATTGTCAAAAGCATTCGACAAAAAAAGGCACAAGAATATTAGCAGGTAAGATTTTCCACTAATCAGCAGATGGCAACTACTAATGAAAGATCATTTGCAGCTCAACAAAAATCTAACGAAAGTCTGGATTGAGCCATTATGAGTATGAAATGCATCTATCTGCTTACAGAATAAGAAACAGCTGAAGAACACAGAGCAAAATGAGATAAATCAACAAAAAGGATTTTCATTACAGCCAGATGAGATGGAAAAAAATACATATATTATTATGTAAAGTATAATCCAATGAACACTACAGAGCAATAACTGTGGCTAAGTGGATTGTTATGCAAGATCATTTACAGTCATCCTTAAAAGATTCATAAGTTTAGAACTCTCACTACTTAGTTGCAAGAGTAAGACATCAAATAAACTAGCATTTTATAAATAATTTAACATATGGCGTAAGCTATGAAATACAAACCTTTCCAAGACACAAACACAATGCTACTCTTTGCAATTCTCCACCAGAAAGGTTCACAACTTCTTGGTCCATCAATTGCTCAATTTGCAATGGTTTCATAACATCAGACACAAATTGCGGATGCATATATGAATCGCGAATTTTTTGATGCAGCAAGTGTCTCACTGTAGATGGAAACTTAGGACTAATTTTCTGAGGCTTATATGAAACATTAAATTCAGGCATCTCAACATCTGAATCTTCCACAGTATCCGGCTTCAGCAATCCAGCCTGAAATTTGTCGACAGTGTAAGCCAAAGAAGCAACATGAAATTAAGGTTGGCAACTTAGTGTACATAGATTATTCCCAAGGTAAACATCATGCATGCCATGACAGAATGGTGTGATGCAAATGTTTCAATACAAGATTAGCAAATACAAATTACACCACTAAACAATTATTGCTTACAAAAATATAGACAGAAGAGAATTGTATACATATTTAAATATCAGAAGAAGTAAAACCTGATATAATGTACCAAATGAACTGATATAATGTAAACGTGTACATATTTAAATATCCATAGGAGTAAAACCTGATAGCAGTAAAACTATAAGTACAAAATGAACCAAGATATACAGTTTCGAATGATACCGTCCAGTACGAGCGATATGTACTAGTCCGACAGTAAACCGGTACATGAACCGCTCGCTACCGAGCGGCATTTTTTTATTTATAAATTATATATATACATATATATATATACATACATATATATATATATATACATACATATATATAAAGGCGACGTCGCACATTTTTTAAAATTTTTTATATATAAATATATAGATATATAAATAAAAGATTATATATATATTTAGAGAGGTGACGTCGCGAGGCGACATTGCACATTTTTTTTAACTTTTATATATAAATATATATATATATAGATATATAAATTAAAGATTGTATATATATATATATATATATATATATATATATATAGAGAGAGAGAGAGAGAGAGAGAGAGAGGCGACATCGCCTCGCGTGGGGAAGAAGGGAGGCGACATCGCCGAAGCGACATTTCAATCCTTGTATATATATATATATATATATACAAGGTCTATCATACCGAAACGTACCGCCCGGTACAGGCGGTACGTACTGGTCTGACAGGTTACCGGTACGTGGACCGCCCAGTACCGCTACAGTGCTACAGTATTATACTGCAGTACTGCTACAGTGCTAGACTGTAGCACTGCTACAGTATTAAATATATATATATATATATAATTGTTCGGTACACCAGGGTGTACCGCTCGATACACTTGATGTACCGCTCGGTATACCGGTACCGTACCGTACAGAGCCCAAGTCAAACCGCCGGTAAGATACGGTACGACGAACCTTGTATATATATATACCGAACGGTATAACGCTCGGTATATAGTACCGTACCGTACTGAGAGAACGTCGAAACTTCGGTACGGTGCGATATTTCAATCCTTGAAATGAACTGATATAAAGTAAACCAAGCTAAACAAGACTCCATTTGATTAAGACTAATACACTAGGATACATGGGTACCAGGACAAATTAAATTGGTTAAATTGAACCTGTTCCTTATTTCTTTTGTTTAATTATAGATCAGGAATATCAGAAAGAAATTACCAGCATCCGAATAAATGTTGTCTTCCCAGTCCCATTCTCACCCAGCATTACAATGATCTGAGAATCTGTAAATTCACCCTCGATCACTTTAAGCTTGAAATTCCCTTGGGTTTTACTCATGGTAGGATATTTATATCGTTGGTATGTCTGAATCTCCTCAGCACTTTCTTGAGGAGTCTCAGCAACCTGGATGATGCAACAACATGTGAAAAATAATAATAGAATTTATATTAGAAGATATTCATAAGAAGATAAGATTCCACCTTAAATGTAAGTGATTCGTCTCGAAACCGAAGATTTTCTGTAGGAACAAAACCAGCCAAAAAAATGTTGATTCCTTCTCGTACAGAGAAGGGTAGTGTAACAACTCCATAAGCTCCTGGCTTTCCATAGAGACAACAAATAAAATCGGACAAGTAGTCCAATACACTGAGATCATGCTCCACAACAATCACATAGCTGAGCAAGGATAAATAAGAGTATTCAGCCTTAACCCCTATGCCAGTAAAAAGAGAAAAACTTAATTGAATCAGGAGATCAGGCTACCTGTTAGGTCTAAGTAGGGAACGGATAACTTGAGCTGCTTTAAGCCTCTGCTTCACATCAAGATAACTTGATGGCTCATCAAACATATAAATCTCTGCATTTTGTATGGCAACCACAGCAATAGCAAATCTTTGCAACTCTCCACCAGATAAGTCCCCCACATTTCGATCAATAACTTGATTCAATTCTAGGCCATTACAAAGTTCTGCTTTCATCTCTCTCTCATCTTTTTGGTCAAGCACCTGTCCAACATTACCTTGAACAGCTTTTGGAATGTGATCAACATACTGCGGCTTGATGATTGCCTACAATATGCTATAAAACTATCAGCGACATGGAAAAAAATGGCAAGGAATTTTATCACATTGATCATAACAATAAAGTTAAACCATTACAGCCAAGCAGTGCCTGAAATATTCAGATGCCTTGAGGCCCATCATTTACAAAGAAAACTCAGAATGAAAAAGGAATTACATAAAGCAATTCATTTAAGTTTACACTCCTGCTCATCCCAAAACTAATACCAGCACTCCTTTTTATTTACATCATTTGATGCTTACATTTAAACCTTCTTCCCATGCACACCAAGCAAATTTCAAAAGATCTTTACAAATCTAATCATTTCTCCATAAACAAATCATAAGAATGATTATTTCCTTTTATGTCATGATAAACGTTCGCTAATTGCAAAATATATACTTCAGCACAAAAAAGAGCTTCTACTAGTCACTTAGACTTATTCAAGCATATACAATTAGGTACAAGCAAGAAAAAAAATGAAATGGCACAAAAATTTTCAAAACTTCTATTATAAACAAAGAGCTGCACCATGCAGATAAAACTACAAATGATAAATAATTTCAACAGCTCCCAACATCCAGTGGATATACATCAGAGACAGAAAAAACATGACCCAAAAAATCAAAAAAGTAATGAGTTTGTTCTCCATATAATCATATTCTTCTTCCAATACTCCAAGAGCAAAAAGACCTCGAATCATATTTAACAGACAGATCATGTATAACTAGAAATGGAGTGAAGTACTTCAGTTTAGTCATAATCAAATGTAAATAGATACAATCATCTGATAAAGTGTATCTGACAAGATGAGGTTAATAATGAAGTTCTACTACCATGACAAAGCTGCAATTTAAAAAAAAATAAGACAAGAATACCTGAATTCTGGAAAATAATAAGCATAAAGCATACACTAATTTTAAGAGTACACTTCTAAGCACCTTTAGATTGTCCTCCAGTATACGAGTAAAATAATTCTGAAGCTCAGAGCCACGGAAATATGTTAAAATTTCCTGCCAATCAGGAGGATTCTGCAAAGAGAGAAAACTTGAGAAACTGCAGGCATGCAAACTTCAAAAACAACATGAGAAAAAAAATGCTTCATTATGTTTACGTTGAATCTACCCAAGTTGGGCTTCAACTTCCCAGCCAACACTTTAAGTGCAGTAGACTTTCCAATACCATTTGTCCCAACCAAGCCCAGAACTTGTCCAGGTCTTGGAACTGGCAACCTATAATAGAAAAATATCCATCATCGAAATTCTAGATCAACAAGCAACACAAAGAAGCAAAAAACCAACACGTCTTCCATGTTCTGAAATATAATCTTCACCGACCTGTGCAATTTAAATGTATTTGGTCCATAACGGTGGGTCGTGTCTTTGTCTAAGTCCTTTGGTAGATTGATAATCTGAATGGCCTCAAAAGGGCATTTCTACAACCAAATGACAAATAATCACATTGTTCAGATATAGGTTAGGATGCTCAAAGACCTAAAATCAATTACAATAACCGATTGGAAGACTGAAAGACCTTAACACAGATACCACATCCAATGCATAACTCTTCAGATATGAAAGCAATCTTTGAGGCTGGAGTTACTTCTATGCAAAGTTTTCCTGTCAGAAGAAGAAAAATAGAAAGCAACATAATATATCTAAGTTAATGGCGAGGCCTAAAGTTAATGTCAATCAAACAATACAAAGCCAAGGTAAGGAAAAAAATGGCAAGTTACAACATGAAATGAAATGGCGTGTGCAGCAGCTAAAACTGAACTTTTGAGTTTCATTTGCTAGAAGACCAACCAAATAGGTAGTCTGGTAAGAATGAAGTGGTACTAGATACCAATACACTAAGAGAGATGAAGAGATCTAATTTCACAATATAATTACCCAAAACATTCAAATTTCAATTGAATGGTTTACACGAAATCATTGACTACTATTCATGAAATCTGGAAAAAAAAGAAGCCATTGATCTGTAGCTAATAAATTAGAAACTCCCATCAACATATTTCCACACAACACTGAGAAAGAGAAGAGAAGGACAAGTCTACAATTTTGAATATATCCATGAAACTAAATGTTGAATTGTACGTACTGATCTGGCTAGCTTAGCCGCAACTTTTTACCTATTAAGGCATGTTATTATAAGATTAACAAAGAAGGCCAGATAAATTAAGAAACACTTGCAACCAACTCGTTGAATCAAAAGATTCATGCAGCAACCTCCCCAATGCACAAGGCTCTTAACAATAAAGAATCTGAAGATAGTTAATGCACGTAGCGTTACCGACATTGCAAACATAAATGGACACACTACCTATGATCTTGATGGCCAAGATAGAAAAAAAGGGTGGCGCAGAAAACAAGGCTCCTGCGAGAATCTGGGGACAGGCTACCTATGATCCTGATGGACAAGGGCGTAAATGTACGCAGCCTTACCAATATTTCAGGAACCATGGCCATATTACCTACGATCCTGACGGCCAAGATATATAAAAAAAAAAAAGGTATTCCAGTGCACAAAACTTCTGCACTGAGAATACAGAAACACACCAACTGATATCTTGATGGCTAAGATAACCCAAAGAAGAATCCCAGATACAAAAAGAGCGAAGGCATGCCAAATTCAACTACCAAAAACACAAATAAACAAAGAAAGAACTCTTCTTGAACCAGAACTTTGATCGGCTACCAACGAAAACTAGCATCGAAAATCAAAGTCCCGAATTTTAGAAATGAATCGCGTTCAAGAAAGGTGGAAGAACGGAACAGAATACCTGTTTTCACGACAGGGCAACTCTTCTTGCACTCCTGTCGGCACTTCTTTGGTTTGCATCGATCAGAGCTAACGATAGCGATACGGGTTAACCGATCGGCCATGATGGAGAGGACGAGGCCCTAGCGCCGCCACAAAAATAAGACCTGATACATGCAAGAGGGAAGAAATTATAGAAAAATACCGAATCCACAACTCCTAACGCTGCCAAAAACAAGCATCCGGGGAAGGGATTGATGTACCACCACTCGTTGCCGGTGCTCGACAGCCGAAGAGGGAAATAACCCTAGCGGCGACGCCGGCCGAGGTATATAAGGTGGCGGATCTTGTCGAGGACGACGGCGATGAACGGATCTCAAGACTCCAAACCCGGTCGGCGACGTGTCGGGTTTCGGATCGCTACCCGTTTATAACAATAACTTAGGAAAAGCAAACAAGCAAATGATTAGTTCACATCCTTTTTATAATTTCCTTTTTGAACTTAATGTGAAAGCACATTTTTTTAGTACAACAATGCGTGAATAACATGTTTTAATTCTAAAAATTAGGAACAAAATTTGGAAATTAAGGAATAATTAAAAATCAAAAACAAGAAATACTATGATTTAAAATTTTTAAAAATAAAAATAATTAATAAAAATGAGACAAATAATCTATGGCATTTTACAAAAAGTTTTCAATATTGACTTTTTATAAATGGCACTCTTCATATTCTTTTTAGAGTTTTGCAAGCTAGAGATATTCTTTCTATTTACAATTTTCTTATTATTTATATTTTTAAAAAATAATAAATTAATATTATACTATTCATAAATTCTTTAATTTTATTTTTATATTCATTTTTTCTTCTTTTTCCTCTCGATAACTCTCCGCTTATGCATTTTGTCATCGTCGGCTCTCCCTACTACCCATGCATATTACTGGATAGTTTGTTAAGGCTCAAAATATGATATCTTCTTGACTAATATAATTAACCTAAAAAATAATATTTTCTTGATTATTACATAATATACATAATTTTTAAAATATTAAATTATTATAGCTAACATCAAAACTATTTCTCTTCCTTTTCCTCTTCAATTGTTGTCTCGTTTTATTATTTTATATTATCTTTGACAATTAAGATGAGGAGAATGAGAAGAATAAAAGAAAAAGAAGAAAAGAGGTTTGTAGGTAACGTTTGAAAGATTTTTATTAAGATTAAGTTATAAATTGAGGGCATATATATATATATATCTATTTGTAAAAGAATAACTTAGCAATATTCAAAGGTGCTTGTAAATAACAAAAATATGATTGCAAATTGTAATTTCCTTTTTTACCTAATGTTTTTTTTTTACTCAGATGAAAATGTCCTTGTACTTTTATTTAAATAATTTAATCCTAGTTGTTATTTTAAAAAAAATCTCTAGTTTTATAATTAATTATCATAAAATATAATAAATAATATAAATTATTTTAGAATCAAATTGATATCACTTTTAAAAAAATAATAATAAATAATTATTAATTTTCTAATAGCACATGTGATCAAGTCATCTTAGTAAAGGACTGAGAGTATTTTTTTGCCTAAAGCATCCATAGATAAAAACAAATAAAGGACTGAGAGTTTTTTTTTTGTCCAAAGCATCCATACATAAAAATAAATATGCAGGCCATCTACGGTACCAATAGTGAAATATTTTTTTTATAAAATATCTAAAAATCTATCATTCTGATAAAAATCCTTCTCACTCATGATCCCACAGGTTAAGGGGTCTACCCATCAGAGAGGTGGAACACTAGAAAAAAAGATAAATATTAAATTTAATATACAATCACGAGCGTATAAAATATAAATTTAAAATTTAAAATATAAATGTAAAATCCTATTCCTAGTCCCACCCATACTCTATACTCTATAAGTATGACTAAGAAAGAATGTCACTTTTCAGTTTTTTACTATTATCAATAGAAGTGTAAAGAGTAGATATTCTTAAAAATATAATATATTAATTTACTAAACAAAATGATAAAATTTTTCTTATGATTTTGACACCTATACATAATTATAATCTCTAACAAAAAAAAAAATACACACACACAAGTCTATATATGTACTAGCATAGGCTTGTACGTGCTCGCCTCAATCACTTGAATAGAGTACTAATATTTTTATTTGTAAAATAAGGTTTATAGTTAATAATCACTAAGTATAAGTCTTCATAATTATATTTAGGTGAGCATATATTATATCATATTATAATATTTTAAAATCTTAAATAAAATGTATTTAATAATAAACACCTCATATTATGATTTCTTTAGAAAACATAACCTATATAAAATAAAAAGGTAAACTTCTACGTTAAAATAATTCAAGATGCTTATATGCATATACAAAAAAACATAGCAAATTCAAGGATTTCTATACTCCATATAATAACATATATGTGCACACCCACGTTGCATGTCATCGTAATATATACGTGCACTTACATCGTACATTATAATATATATATATATATATATATATATAT